TATATATATATATATATATATATATATATATATATACACTGTATTTTCCCCACTCATCTCTTTTCTAGCGTGTAGTACTTTGTATTGCAGCACTTGTCATGTTACTACCTCCTTAGCATGAATCGCTCTGTTGTAATCCTCATTTATAAGTCACTTTGGATAAAAGTGTCTGCTAAATAAATAAATACATCAGCCAGTTTGAACTGCAACATTTACATCATAGGCTTACTTTGCTTCTTTGACGCTGTCAGACTTTACTTTAACAGTGTCTGTCTCCATGACACTACCACACCTTGAGTATATTGATGTTTGATTTGCTGATTAAATCATCTCTGATTTTTACAGATAAGGCTGAGGAGCCTCCATAGCGGATCAGTGTTGAAGCGTCAATCATTCAGTAGATTATTGCAGTCCGTCAACAGACAGCATCCATGATCAGTCACAGCCCAGCTGCTGTTGACAAGAACCAGTAAGTATGAGTAGACTGTAATGCATCTGTAAGACGCAGCTGCTAGGAAATCTGCATTCCTGTCTGCTTAAACTAGATGTATTTATAAAGCGTAAGCTGGACTTGATGAGAGAAGAAATTAATTCTTACGACACGCAAAGCCTGTGTGGCCAAACTAGGCCACGACATAAATGTGTTTGCGAGAACAACCGCCTCATTGTTAAAGCTGTTGTTTCAGAGTAAGACTTGAGTCAGATTAAACATTCTTGAATGAGGCGCTCTCTTGTAATTGGATTTTTTTTTTGTGTGGCTTCTTTGAAGTTGCCGTATATCACTGCTCCTCGTTATAACCAGAACCAATGAAATGTTTAATCTCAGAGGATTTCGTTTTTCTGAAAAAAGTCCACTGTTGCAATACTCTTCGAAGGAGAACAAAGTTCAGACGGAATTCATTTAAAAGATATAAAAGAACGAAAGAAATGGGTGGATGGAAAAGTTCCTATTCTGATAGCGTTTCATTTCAACGTCTCCGTTTGAACTTTCTTAAAAGCATCCCTTTTGTGTGGTAAAATAAGGGGACTTCAACAGGGGGTCCGCCATACTTTGTATTCAAATTACTATAATAACTAACCAAAGCTAAAGAAGAAGGTCGAATTAAAGTGTAATGTAGAAGTAGGCCACAGGACTGTACATCAATAAGTGTACAGCAAGCATCATATAGCTACTATACACACTATATATGTCAGACTTATCTCTTAATCCACCAAGGGCCTCAAGACTCCTGCTGTAAACCAAACGCATTGTATTTGATTGACATTAATGAGTCTCTGGATGTAGCTGAGCAGGAGATAACAAACGTCCAATGGTTTTGCCCTGCACCGAGTGCAGATGAAGTCTTCAGACGACCCTTGCTTTAGAGCCCTCACTTGTACAGGTCTCAAACTCTGTCCCTCTCCCAACACTCATTCCAGTGTGTGAACTATGGGCGCATTAGACACGGCACTAAACCAGGGCAGCGGTCTACAATTCACAGCCATAAAGGGAGCTTTGTACTGGAGAAGTCACTTGAAAGAGAACTGGCAGTCTCTTTATGATCTCCGCCTGGCGAGCGGTATCCTCGCGGAGCCGTACCCTGGAAACTGCGCTTTTCACATGATAACAAAGAGCCTTTGGGTTCAGCTAGAGAAAAGTGAATGTATAATCTTGCGGTTGGGGATGAAGAGACAAACGAGTTCTCAAATATACAGCGTGTTATGTAATGAAAATGTCCAACAGTTGCGTTACAAAATAAGACTTGTATGCCATCGATTAATAGCGACTGTAGGCACGAGTAGGCTAAACTGATACAATCTGAGGACGTTCTCAAATATTCTAAGCTCAAATAGAACGTTCTAGAGACGTTTGAGCGTTGAAGGGATTAGAAGGCAAATGAGCGCGTTTACCATGGTAACGCTTCAGGTCGTCTCTGGCCAGCAGCACGGCGATCCGCAGTCCGATCCCAGAGGAGCAGCCGGTGATCAGCACCACTTTCTGCTCGCCGCCGCTCGCCATGGCAACTCCTGTGTCAGCTGCGAGCTGTAGCAGCGCACTTTAAAAAAACTTAAAGCGGATCATGCAACTCGGCGCTCGTGAGCGGGTTATGCGGTCACATGGCAGACAGGATCGATTAGTTAAAGGAGGACGTAAAGACGCATGCTTACTTGCGCGAGCATCAGCGTTTACTGTACTGCTTTGAAAAACAAACAGATTAACGCAGTGCAAAGGGGAGAGGTGTGCGCGTGTTTGGGGAGGGGGCGGGGGGTCTAAGGCGAGAAAAAAATCAATATAACAAGTAAAACAACAAACATTTAAAAGTAAACCGTTTTAATTAAGTCTATTTAATTAGGCTAAATATCATTATTTCACGCCTTCTGGTCTGTTACTTGAGTGAACATGATTTTAAAATGCTGCAGTGTATTATATTACATTATATCCATAATATTTAAATTGGTTATTTATGGTAGTAATTAATTAAAGTGAGTTTGGTTTTGCTTTGCCATCCTCCACTTATAAATTGCGGATTGAATTCATCATCATTATAATTTTTTTTAAGTTTAGCCTATTTGTTTGATGTTGCCCTCTGTTTTGACACAAATGGCGACTTAGTTATTATTATTGTTATTTTTTTTTTAGTACATTTATTTTATTTTCAGTATTATCTAAAAGTAAATATAGTGACCATAAACATGTTCTACACTCATAAATGAGTAAAAGCTTCTTAGTAATTACATTAGTCTGTACTGCCACCTGCTGGTAAAATGTAATACAGCACATGCAGCTTTAACTCGCATCACGATGATAAGTGCTGATTTTATAGGCCTTGCCCCTCCAAAGACGCCCTAGAAACGTTTGGTCGTGATGCAAAATTATGCCAGGGAAGGACATGGTTTTAGAAAAACAAAAAAATAATAGTCAAGTCAAGTCACCTTTATTTATATAGTGATTTTAACAATACAGATTGTGTCAAAGCAACTGAACAGCATTAATTAGGAAAATAGTGTGTCAATAATGCAAAGTGACAATCGTAAACACTCATTTTTCAGTTAAAGGCAGTTCATCATTGAATTCAGGGATGTCAACATCCAGCTCAGTTCAGTTTAAATAGTATCTGTGCAATCATTTGCAATCAAGTCAACGATATCGCTGGAAATTAAGTGTCCCCAACTAAGCAAGCCAGAGGCGACAGCGGCAAGGAGCCAAAACTCCATTGGTGACAGAACGGAGAAAAAACCTTGGGAGAAACCAGGCTCAGTCGGGGGGCCAGTTCTCCTCTGACCAGATGAAACCAGCAGTTCAATTCCAGGCTGCAGCAAAGTCACATTGTGCAGAGGACTCAACTGGCTCCTGTGGTCTTGTCCCGGTGGCCGTCTGAGACAAGGTCTTTACTGGGGATCTGTATCTGGGGCTCATCTGGTTGTCCTGATCTTCGCTGATTATACATATTTTATACATATTTTCCACACAGTAAATAGTAAAATGATTTATGATTATTTCATTGTTTAGATAATAATCGTTCTAAATGTAATAATTCATATTTTATAATGGATTTCCATAATTTAAGAAAATTGTTAAACAAAAATCCATTCATAAAAGACGTTTGAAAATTAGACAAAAATAAGTGATGATAAATTAAATTATGTAAGCCAACAGTTCGTGTCCATGACAACATATTAAAGAAATGTACAGTGAAACTGGACTCTTTTAAAGAAGCTAGAAAAGGTGAATCATGCTTGCCTGTGTAAAACTTGCCACAATGATGCAAAGGTGCTCTGGGTGTTTGCCAGGGGGTTGCCATACTGTTGTGAACGTGTCGTGGATGGTAAGGCGTTGTGAGGTGGTTGCTATGGTTTCTGTTGTTACTGTAGAAGTTTGCTTATTGGCTAAAGTCAAAAGAGTCCACCCAAGTCTCTATAAAACTGTGGTCCCAATATGGTTTGAGACTCAAGACTTAAGACTATGGCTTAAGGTTTTTCATTCACTGGATCAGAGTCGCTTAGAAAGGTAATAGACAAGTCACATGATATGAGGTATCATTTACATTCATAACACAAACAGCGCGGGTAAAATTATGTCAACGTTTATGCATATGAATCAGGAATGGGTGACTGCAGCAATTTAGTAGCCTCATTACCTCCACATAGAGGCTGCTTTTATAATCTGTTGGTCCTTGATTGAATATTCTGATACCATTTAGCAGAAGGTGCAAGTGAAATAAGTCTATTACTAGTGTCTTTAGGAATAGATCTGGTCTGCTTAAGACATCGAACTGAACTCTTGGATGTTTAGGCAGCTCATAAGCAGTAATGACCTCTGCTGATTTGATTGCATTGTTCAGCACAGCACTTCAGGGCACAGCAGCTCCCATACCAGGATGCTCATGTGACATATGATGTTATTCTAACTCATTTAAACAGTTTGTAGGAGAATTAGACAGTTAGTTATGTTTTTTTTTGCACTGTAATACCCATGTGATGACCAGTGGTGTGACCCTTTCCACCGCAGTCACGTGGATGTCTCCTCCCTGGTGTTTCCTATAATCTATGATCATCTGCTTAATCTCCTTGTTATCCTGCTTCACAAGCAGGATTTCAACCTCTTTATTTGTACCTGTGATCCTAGTCATTTTTTGCAGCTTTTCTTACAATCAGCATTAAACAGTATGTTGGGATGTAGTTGGGAAAAGTAAGCAGTAGACCACTTGAAGCATAGGCATAAAATTAGCTTAAAAAGTGTTTAAATGTTACCTATAGACTGTTATCAGCGATAGCATAAAGGTCTGCCAGTCAATCAAACTGTCAGATTTCAGGGTTAGGTTTAGTACTGGGGCTGGTACCGGAAAACATTCTTATGAACTATTTCACTCTGATTGTAGGGTAGTTAATAGTTAGAATTAGGACTTTTACACAAATGTTATTCCAGGATAAACAAAAGATACTTATCCAGGCCATGCTTGGAAAATCATAGTCACTGTAGGAATTTAGTCTGGTTTCATCTGGTTTACATAATACATAATACATAACCCATCATATGGATATCACATTTTACCTTTGAATGTGTTGCATACTTCAGTTCTTCCCTTGTAAAAGTGTGCTCAATTGTACTGAATGTGCTCTAGTAGTGTAATTCGAGCCTTAAAAGTATTTTTGAAAATAACAACAACAACAACTGTACTTGCAGATGATAGAATATTATGTTTTATAATGTAATGTTATGTTTCAATATTTTTTGTTGTGCTTTAAAGAAATATACTTATTTTTTAAGTTGACTATCGTAGTGAAGTACATGTAAAGTACTTCATTTCATACTTCGTACTTTATTCCATATTATATTTTAAGTTAATATATATAATTTGTATATATATATATATATATATATATATATATATATATATATATATATATATATACGTATATATACATACAGTATATATTAACTTTAAATATAATATGGAATAGAAATGGCATTTGAAGTATATTTTAGTTTAGCATAAATGCTTGTCAGTTTATTCAGCAGTACACTTTAACCATATTTCAAAGACAAGAAGTAATTCTGAAATTACATAGAAAAATGAGCTTGAGTCCTTCTCTAAACTGTAAAACATTTAAATTGAATTGCAATTAACATTTAGTTAAGTGCGTGAAAACATTACATTTAGTTCTCACTTTCGTATATATTTCCATAATAAGTCTTTATTAAAGTATGCTAAAGTGTCTTTCTTTTTCACAAAGGTTGAACAGGATCAGAACCCCAGCATATGTGTAGATGTCACAAGTATGGTGAAAATGTCCTTTTTTGAAAACTGCTTAAAGCAATTGCAAGGGATTAGATGTCAGGTGAGTCACAATTTGGACGTCACTGAGAGGTGTCAAAGTGCAGATGAGAAAAATGAAAAGCGCACATGTTTGGGCATGCTGACTGTTGTGACCACAGCTGCAAGACTATAAAGCAGGTTTGTAACGGAAGAAATGAGACTGACAAACAAAGTTTTATATATTACAGTTTTTCTCAATGGATTTGACTCACTGGTCACTGTTCTCAAAACAGTTAACACAGTGATCGGAACACTTTGTAATTGTCCTAAACAGATTGTACGTTTTCAGTCATGTCATACAAATTGCAAATCATGCAAATCATTTTCTCAAAACAATGTGCACAAAACTCTTGAGATGTTTTCAAAAATAGTTAATACAACCAACCAATACTTTAAAATAGCTGAAAAAAGGTTTTACACAAATCACAAACATGTATGTACCATTTGTCCAAACACAACAAACAAAACTCTGTAATCTGTCATTCGATCAAATGAACATAGTATATTTTCAATTGGTCCTAAACCTGTAAGAAGACATGAACAGAGAGGAAGTGGACAACAGGGTGGAAGGAGAGGTAGAAGGTGCAGAAGAATTTCAGACTAAATCAGAGTTACCCTAATTGATCATGTAAAAAATCATGGCCTCTCCCTTTGGGGGGAGGAATAACAAATAACTTCTGTTATTTACTGTAAATGTCAAAATTTAAGTTTGAGATCATTCAAGGTGGACAATCAAGATTATTTTGAATGGAATGGGAGCATTGTTGACATGGTGGTCCAGAACACCCCCCCCAGCCACAAAGGAAGGGGCCTGTGGAGATGTTGAGACAGGAGCTTTTCAAGCATGAATTCAACCTTCTTACATTTTTTCTCATATGATGCAAGCGCAGCAAATATGTAGTGTACATAAAATGCAATGAAATTCTCTTCCAGATGGAAATGAAAGGCAAGATCAGTAATTCAGGATAATTCATGTATACAGCAAACACACACACACACACACACGCACAAAGGTTTGTTTTTGTGAAAAGTGGGGACATCCCATAGGCGTAATGGTTTTTATACTGTACAGACCGTATATTCTATTGCCCTACACCAACCCTACCCCTAAACCTACCCCTCACAGGAAACTTTGTGCTATTTCAGATTTTCAATACACTTCATTCTGTGTGATTTATAAGCATTTTGAAAAGTGGGGACATGGGGTAATGTCCTGAAAAGTCACCTTCTCCTTGTAATACCTATGTCATACCTTTGTCATTATACAAATGTATGTCCTCATTTGTCACAAAAACGCTCGCACACCCCCCAACCCACACACACGCACACACATGCATATACACATATATGTGTGTGTGTATATATATACTGT